ACCTAAACCATGTAAAATACGTGAAGCAAACAAATGCGGTCGGAGGTTTGGGAAAGATAACCATATGGGGATGACCGGAGAATCAACATCAATATCTAAAGAGGGGGACCATTTACTCAATTTCATGTAACAATTACTCACAAAATACGATCTATGAGCAAAAACTCTACAGTAATCCAGATTGTTAAAAAGCTTAATCAAAACATTCCGTTGATTCAAAACCGTAACCGAAACCTCACCAATCAGTTTTAATTTAAAGAAAAAACTCCTAATGGCCTCAATGGAAGGTCTACGACTAGCAAATTTCCCAACAAGAGCAAATTCAAACGGAGCAGCCAAATCATGGATTTCCGCCTCAGAAATCAACAGCGCAGGCAATCCACGATGAGACGAAACCTTCAAATCGGGAAAAACCTTCGGAGAAGAAACCGAACCCGCAAGAGCATCCTTAAAAGACAGCGAAGACGGACCAACCAAAAAACCAGGATCACGCAGAGGAGCCATACAACGAGACTAACGAGATTCACACGAAAAAAGGCGAAGAAAACTACCCGGAACACCACATGCAGCGGCACAAAGAGACGACGGCTAGGGCAAAAGCCCTAGCCCACCCCCGGGAGCGAAAGAGAGAAAGAGCGTCATTTTGAAATGTTTGATCCAACAAAGTAACCGAAAAATCCCCAGATAATTTTAGGTTAAAAAAAAACCTACGACAGCAAACTGTCATTATATATTAAAAAGAGAAGGATAAGTTTCGAATAAATAATTTAATATTTTAAACATTTTGTTAAAAAAAAATAAAATCTACCCATCTCACTATTTTATTTTTAGATCACAATTATAATTTTATTTTGCTATTATTTTTTTGTTATTTTTTTCTCAGCTTTCTAGAAATAATAACCAAATTAAATTAAATTATGACATCAAAAGCAGTTTTTTATTATAAAGCTTTTTAGAAAGCAGGGCAGAAATAACAAAAAATAATATTAAAAAGAAAATATAATTGTGATCTAAAAATAAAATAGTCATATAGGTAGAAATACTAAATTGTTTATTCGAAACTTATCCTTCTCTATTTAATATATAAAAACCGTTTCGTCTAGACCCACTTCGAGCAATTCAACTATAGCTCTATTCATCACCATTCACCAAAAACTTCACTCGGCTTGCTGAGAAAGAAAACCCATTCTTCTGCTCGTCAAATTATAAATGATACGAATCTGATTTTTATACCAACTTTTAAAAAAGTTAATTTCTCCACAACAATTTTATAATCACTTTTATAGAAAACTGATGCTGAGATGTCTCTCTCCACAAATGTTCCGTAAATCATACAACTCATTTATTTGCATTCAACACAAATTTTTGGAGCATTAGGGTTTAATTATCATGCAATTATAATTTTTAAGGTAGTAAATCCCATGCTTGAATCAAACTAACTTCTTATTTTTTCTTCCATAAAGACTGAAAATTTCTATTTTTTTATAAATTCCAAAATATTAATTAATAAATATTTTGAAGCTGAGGCTCTCAAAATTATTAAAAAAAAAAAAAAGCTTCACAAAATAATAAAGGAAATAATTTCAAGAAGACTTCGTAGGTTAGGAACATGTCATTCATGTTAATCTGGTAGAAAGTTACCAATTGCAATATGCCATTATAACATGGCAGATTCCAGAAGACCTGCAGGTACGACACGGCTTGACTATATCAGCCGTCCATTCGACCACTTCTTATTTGCCCCTGATCTCACACCTATTTACAAGATATGCTACTCCATGAAATCTATAAATAGACCCCTCATTTCTCATGAGAGAAAACCCAAGCAAGAGAAGAGGAAGAGAAGAAGAAGAGAATGATAGGAGGGAATAACTCAACCACCGTCGGAGTTCTGCATGGCGCCGGAATTCTGCCGGTCTTCCGAACAATGCCAGAGTTCTACTTGATGCCCAAGTGACGCCAGAGTTTTACCTGACGCCAGAATTCTGCTCGATCTCCAAGTGACGCCAGAACTCTGCCCGACGTTATAATTAGACATACATCTGGAAGTGAAGCATTATAAACTGATCGTCCTAAATTTTAAGGACGATTCAGCGTCTTGTACTTCAAACAAATACTAGTGAAATCATTTCAACTGGGCGTGGTCCCGTGATTTTTTACCTTTCCAGGATTTTTCACATAAAAATTCTAGTGTTTCTTTTTCTTTCCTGTTTGTAGCTGGATATCCGTACAACGCTGAGACGAAAATTTACTAACTCTATCACCGCGTATATTCTAGCCCGCAACAAATATATAAAATTCATTTTGTCTAGACCCACTTCGAACAATTCAACTTTAGCTCTATTCATCACCATTCACCAAAAACTTCACTCGGCTTGCTGAGAAAGAAAACCCATTCTTCTGCTCGTCAAATTATAAATGATACGAATCTGATATCTACACCAACTTTTAAAAAAGTTAATTTCTCCACAACAATTTTATAATCACTTTTATAGAAAGCTAATGCTGAGGTTTCTCTCTCCCCAAATGTTCCGTAAATCATACAACTCATCTATTTGCATTCAACTCAAATTTTTGGAGCATTATGGTTTAATTATCATGCAATTATAATTTTTAAGGTAGTAAATCCCATGCTTGAATCAAATTAACTTCTTATTTTTTCTTTCATAAAGACTGAAATTTTCTATTTTTTATAAATTCCAAAATATTAATTAATATACCCTCCTTATTTTATAAATATTTTGAAGCTGAGGCTCTCAAAATAAAAAAAAAAAAAAAAAAAAAAAAAAAAAAAAGCTTCACAAAATAATAAAGGAAATAATTTCAAGAAGACTTCGTAGGTTAGGAACATGTCATTCATGTTAATCTGGTAGAAAGTTATATGCCATTATAACATGGCAGATTCCAGAAGACCTGCAGGTACGACACGGCTTGACTAGATTGACCCACTAATGGCTTTTCAGATATGTGGGACAATAGCAGGTTGGTTGGTTGACTGATGTGGCCGATAATCCAACACATAAAAATTAGGTTCGCATCGATCCATTTCATAAATAGGTTTTATTCGGGTTCCATTTTATGAACCCTTTGAAAATCTGGTGGGGTCCCCACACCCACGCTCGCACCCGTCACACTTCCCTGCATTGCGCAACTCGAGCTCATGCCTTTGTCCCGTCCTCTCTGGTCGCGCACCTTGCGCCCACCCGCGCTCCTCGCTAGCCCATTCCCCCGCTCGCCTGCTGCCTTGCTTGCAACCCAAACTAGCGGGTCAATTCGGATTTAAATTTCTGACCCGTTTGTCAAATCATGTCTGATCAAATTACATTAGTTGAAGACATATTAATTTTGAATTGGATCCGAATCCAATCAGAAAACTCATTTTTACACTCTTGATGTGTTAGTTAACCAACTCCATAGCCCAAAAATAATAATAATAAAAAATAACTCTCACGGGCCGAAGCCCGCCCAGAAACAGAACCTAACGCGGACCACTAACCCTAGGGATAAGACTGCGACCACTCTGAAATATAAAAATAAGAAGGTGCGGAACCAAAGCGACGGTCTCCGGCTGCGAGCACGTTGTATCATCATCTCACCGACTAGTCCACGTCACCATCTGTCGGCCCTTTTTATGTTGGATTACAATGCCACAAAGTGGGGCCCATTAAAGCGGGACCCACCTCCCATCATATTTAACTCTAAAGAGATGAAGTTACCTTCAACTGGAGGGCAGACATCGTAATTAACGTTCAAAACTATGGCTCTTCGAAACCATCTCGTTATTTATATTTCGTAATCCCAAATCCCAAATCGGAAAATCATTTTCTTTTTTTTTCAGCTTGAGCTTCTTCTCCCAGCTGTGAAATCGCAATCTCTTTTAACATGCCGCCGGCAACGAGAAATCTGCAGTCGAGTTCCGGCCACCCGCCTGCCGGTGAGCCTCCCGAGCCGATGACGGTGGATTCCGACGTCGTGGTGATACTTGCGGCGCTGCTCTGCGCGCTGATCTGCGTCGTCGGGCTGGCTTTGGTGGCCCGCTGCGCCTGGCTTCGTCGCTCCCTTGGGGGAGCTTCGGTGAATCCGCCGCCGCCGACTAAAGGGCTGAAGAAGAAGGATCTGCGGGCTCTCCCGAAAACGTCTTTTGACAGCACGGTGGCCGCCAGAGGCCGGTTTGCCGAGTGCCCGATTTGCCTTGCGGAGTTTGTGCAGGGTGACGAGATCCGGCTCTTGCCGCAGTGCGGCCATGGATTTCACGTTCGTTGCGTCGACACTTGGCTCGGATCTAACTCTTCTTGTCCCTCCTGCCGCAAGATTCTCGTTGTTCATGGGCCTTCAAAGTGCGATCGCTGCGGCGCCAGAGCTGTTGCCGGTGAAGATGCCACGGAAGAAGCGTCGGCGGCGTCGGCGGCTGCTTCTTCAGCGGCGGAGAACGGGGCTAAAGCCAGGGAGGACGGCGACGCCATCAGGTTCTTGCCCTAGCTAGGTTTTCTCTCTTTTAATCTATACTTCTCTCTCCCTATCAAGAACAATGTAATTATTTCGTAAAGATTTTATTTGTGGAGAGATTATTGGCTTCAGCTTGTGGAGTGGAAATCGACGCTTCTGGAATCTTAGGACCGTAATTTTTTTTTTTTTTGCAGTTTTGTCTATCACACCGGATAAGAGCATTGAATTTGAGGGCTCTTTAAAAAAATTATGTAAATTTCGGAAATTTCACCATCGTTTAAGGCAAAATTAGTAAATTGCATCTATAATCATAGAATTCGCGTTGGCATGCGGGCCGCGAATTACGGGGCTCAAACAAAACTGGAGGCCATTTTGTAATTTGATATTTGTTGAAGGGTGTAACTGCGAAAATGCTCTGTATTGGGAGACTCCGTATTTATTACTGGTCTTTTGAACTGGCCCACATAATTGAAGGTGAGGCCATAATTGTTAGGCCACCTCCAATGGAAATTAATATCATTTTTCGCACCAAAATTCAGTGAAATTAAAAAAATGTCGTAATTCATCTCCAATCGAATGTCATTTAATCATCGTTTTTCGTGCTTTTCTTCGGTCGGTAGAGATAAAAGAATGGCGCAGATGAATAGTGCGACGTCAATATAGGCGTTGCACTGTTCATCCGCGATCAAATGGCTTCAAAAATGATGGTCGGTTGGAGCAAAACAAGAACTGCAAACAAGTGGTCGGAACTCGACTGCAGATTTCTCGTCGCCGGCGGCATGTTAAAAGAGATTGCGATTTCACAGCTGGGAGAAGAAGCTCAATGTTAAAAGAGATTGTGATTGCCGTTTCATTGAAGTTGCCCTTAGTAAAGCTGATTTTTTTTTTTCAAATGATTTGTACAATTACATAGTATTTTTTAAATATAAATAAGGGAGAGTCATCCCAATCATCTCAAATGTATTGAATTGGATTCATAAAAAAGTTAATGTTGATGGACTCACCTCCTTGGTTTTAGCCTCAGAGAAGATGGAGAAATTACTGTGCGCTGATTCTGACCGCAGTTCTATCCATTCAGAATGAGTCACATTAACAATATCAAGTACGGAGCAATGTCGCGCTGCGGTACCGAATGGTGCCGAACAATTCCTAGTTGCGATGCGATACCGATGTGGCTCATTCTAATTGATCTTTGGACGGCATTCACAACTTCACTGCGCTACAGCTACCAAAATTTTGCAGTTGGAAAGATGAGCATAGTTATATTGAAGCCCCAAGTATTTGACTCAACTAACGTGAAATCCATGGCCTCATTATGCCAAACTCCGCAATGCAGATCATTTATTTTGTAAGCTACCATTAGGTCGTCAAAAGATGTCTTCAGGAGGAGATCTCGCAGAGCTAGCAGAGCAACATCGCAAGAATGAAAATGACATCAGAATCAAACATTGTAAGCTCAAGGGATCTTAATGGTCGATAGGGGGTTTGATCTCGACTGGAGATTTTTCATTGCTTGCAGCATCGTGAAAAGAGATGGAGAGATTTCACAGTTGGGAGAAGTTGAAGGAGAAGATGATTTGGGTTTAGATTTTGGGATTTCGAATTTTGGTATAAATAGCGAGAAGGTTTCTCAGATCCATGGTTTCGACCGTTAATTATGATGTTTTCCCTTTCTGGGTGTAATTTTGCCATATTAGGGTTAAATATTATGCATGAAAGTGCCAAAACCCTGCATTGGCTAATTATGCAATAGATGAAAACATGGACTTATAAGCAGTTCATCTTAGACTGTTGGTTTAGAGCTTTAGCTGACAGCCAAGAGGTCTTGAGTTTGAGTTTTGTGTATGTGATGTATGTGCAAATTTGTTTCAATTTACCTAAATGTTCAAAACAAACCTACACACTTATTGGCACGGTTGCCCGTGCGGAGTAAGAGAAATTATTTTGTGCATATGCTGAACACCGTACAGAGACTAACCAGAATGCGACATGTAACCCCCTGCTCGGTACCGCTCGGTACTTGGCTCAGTACTATTGACGTTGCGCATTCTGATTGATATCTGGACGGTAAACTGCGTAATGACATCCGCACAGAATAATTTCTGGTGGACTAAGGGGCAATTTGATTTTAAGTAGTTAAAATGTTTTTAATAAAATATAAACTAAAATTAATTCATTTGAATTCTTTGAGATGTTTAGTTATTCTATTCTTGTGGGAATGATGAATAATAAATAACAAGTGGTGCTACAACTCATGATTTTTGAGAAATCATAGTTTCTTTTGAGTCTCATACATTTACTAGTATTTTTTAATACCCAAAAAAAAAAGTTAGAAAGATTGTAATTAAAAAATTATAAAATAAGGATGGGAGATTAGGCTTCCAATCAAAAGGTTCTGAATTCGAAATTTATATATATGTGTGATTTAATTTGATAAAAAATCCCTTAGAAAAAAGAGTGAATAATATAAAAAATAAAATAAATATCATTATCATATTTTGTTTTTTATTTTGGAGAAGAGAGAGAGAGACAAAATCTATATAAAAACAGCTATTACAAAAAAGAGCTGCCAAAATAATTAGAATTAGAAACACTGAACCAGCCCAGCTGTTACAGAAACAAAGCTATAAATCTGTAATTCTTTTATTTTCTTTGTAAAATTTGAGAGTCGGAACTTTTTATATTGAAGTATGAAGAAATTATAGTGAATGCCAGCTGCTGCTACGGCTTACTCTTTGGCTTCGTTTGCAACAGCTTTTTTAATTGATTTTTAGATTGATTTTTAAGCATAAAATTTTTATGAAAATATCAAAAAAAGAAAGCATAATTACAATATTTTTTCTCAGTACAAAAAATTACAGTCCAAAAAAATATTTTTTGTTTAAAACTAATTTTAAATAAAATTAAATTTTTATTCATGATAAACTTCAAAACTCTTAGATCTACCTTAAGATAAGTGCAATATTAATTATTTATATATTGCACTTATCAAAAAAAATATTCAAATGATTTACTTTTAATAAAATTTTGTCATTTAAAATTTGCTAAATTTATTTATGTAAATTTATATTTTTAAAATTTGCAATATATAGAATAATTTGGCCTATTTAAAATAATTTTTTTATGTAAATTTATTTTTAGATTTTTGTTGAATAGATGAAATGGTGAGAAATTTATTGAATTTTTTTTTTCTCCTCATTATGTTAGCATATATAATAGAATGAAAATTAAAGAGGTTGACTAAATATTGAGATTTGTGGTTGGCTTATAATGGACATGGTCTTTGGTTCCTTACTGAGCGTTGATCTTTTAACATATGAGATTACTTTCTCTAAGGCCGACATTATTTTCTGCTTACTTCCTTATTTTTGCTTTATTATTTGCGATACTAATATCTCTTTTGCGTGTAGTCTTCCTCTTTTAGTCTTCTATTTTTTGCAGAGGAAATAGGTCTTCAAAGATTCTGGCAGAAAGACAGGGTCCTGATACTGGATGATCTATAGTGATTTTTATTGATATAAAAATCACTTTCCTTAGATTCAAAATTTTGAAACTAAACTAAGGAACATTCCTTAGTTGATTCTGAGATGATTGTCTAATGTTCTCATTCACCATTGAGTAGATATCATGTTCAAGTTTAAATCTATCATTGACTGAACTAGGATGTTAGAACATGAGGGGTTCTTTATTTTATTTTGTAGCTCGTCTGAGCAGTAGTGAGCTGACGGTTTCCCTTAAGGACTCTGTAACACTATTTTTTATATTAATGCGTAGGCCCCTCCGCGGGTTTTAACAAAAAAAAAAAAATGGACATGATCCCCATAACATGTAATGCAGATGCTGAGATTCCTAACATAGAACTAATTAGGTCTTCTTTTCCCTTAAATTTTTATATTAAGTGCTAAAAAATAAATGCAATGAAATTTTGATAATAACTTTCAATTATCTTTTGTGTGTTGCTCTATTGAATTCAAGGTCTACTTTGGACATTTGTAATGTTTATAACGATGATTGTAATTGGTTGCAAAAAAATAATTTTTCATCATAAAAGTTTTCAATAAGAAAGTAGAAAGTTTTAGCTAAAAAGTTATTTTATTCCCAATACTTGTCTTATGAGAGTCTAACCTTCTTTTTATAAATGGAGTAGAGACAATATTTAATAAAAAAAAATGATATCAAAGAAATTATTTGAATGGCATGATATAATTGATACCTCATCAAAAATCTTTTTTTGTCGGGCACGAATCTCAATGTATATTTAAATTAACAACTTCTGAAATTAAGTTAAGGACCATCCAAACTTTGATATCAACAAACTTATAGTTGAAATGAACGTCTTCATGAGACAAAACCAAAGATACCAAAAAAAGTGTCCAAAAAAATTGTCCAATGCAAATTTAAATAAGCCTAGATCAAGCACTTGAAGCATAATTAAAACTTTTTTTTAAAACCAAAATATATTCCAACAAGAAAAGAGGGGGGTAATAACAAACTTAAAGGAGGGACAAAAAATGAAAATTATAGAGAAGCCAAAGTACGGGGTTTAACAGCCCAAAGGCTCAGTAATTGGCAGAGGCTTCAAACTGCATCGAAGCCAGGCGAGAGCCATCCAGTTTGGAGTGAGAGACCAACGAGCAAAAAAACCACCACCAAAGGTTGCCATGAGCCATAGCTTCAGATAAGTGAGCCCTAGCCACATCATTGCCAAAAACCAACAATCGCATTCTCGAAATTTAAACCAATATCCAACAAAACAGTAACCACCATATTTTTAAAAATAACTCATATCGGCTCCCAACTAAAGCAGCAACCTAAAGGAGAAAACTTTAATAGGTTTATTGGATGGTCAAATGATCTACAAATCTTGAATGCTTATAGTCAAATCGAACATCTCGATGAAACTAATCAAACTAGTCTAAGATCGCTTAATTTTGATATCATTAAGACATTTAAGTGATGAATGGGCAATTTATAATCAAGAGAATCACCGCGGTCGTCCGATGAAATATTCTTAATTTATCATATATTTAGAGATATGGCACTCTTCAAAATCTATAAATAAGCCCCAACTCTCTAGCTGGGAGATCCTTGGACTTGAGATTTAAGAGAGTTCAAATGCTCCAAAAAATTTTCAAGATATTAACAGAAGGCATAGTACTTAGACATGTACAAGTTACAAATAATTTTGAAGCAATTTATTTAGTGGAAAAGCTTTTATGGAATGAGAAAAACTATAATAATATTCCTAAATGCATGAAGAAATCATTTGTAAATAAACAACTCATTTAATTTTCATACTTGTCATATACAATTTTATTATATATTTATGATGTTTTCTTTAATAATAAAAAATAATGTCACTTGATTAATTTGTTTCTTAATTATTTATCATAATTCAATCACATAGAAACAAAATATAATAAATGATTTAAAATGTGAATGAGGCCAAATTTTAGCTCTCTTTCATATAAATCAAATGTCATAAATACTCCAAGCTAAGTATAACTTTATTGAGGAGTACCGACATATTTTTTATTCCTAATTTTGTCATGTTACTTAGAACACATGTAAAGTAAACGCTTCTATCGCCCACAGATTTATGATATTTTTTAGGGGTGTCAATTCAGGTTGATCGATTTAGTTCAAATTTGATTCAAAGATGACTAGACGAATACACTTGATCCAAATTCTGTCTATTTATTATACGGGTTAAAATATTGGACTCAAACCTGATTTGACTGGACCCTGTCTGACTCAAATCTAACCCATTTAACTTGAATCGGAATAATATTCGAGTAGATTTTAAGCCGATTTTGAGTTTGTAGATCAACTTGCACCCAACCCTAAATTTTATCGGGTGAAGATTTTAATCCGAACCCAACTAAAAATATAATTAGACCAACTTGAACTTTGATTTTTCAAGTTGGTTCTATGTCATGTAGGGGTGTAAGTGAGAAGAGCTGGCTTGAGCTCGACTCATTTATGAGCTCGCGAGCCAAACTTATTGAGCTCATGAGTCGAGCTCGAGCTCATTTAGTAAACGAGCTTGAGTTCGAGCTTGAGCCGAGCTCGCGAGCCGGCTCATTGCAGTCATTAGTATAATTTGAGTCATTTATTTGATATTTATTTTCTTATTCTAGTTAATTCTTAGCAATTTACCTTGGCAACCCTTGCATTTGGACATTTTGCTGGGTTAAGAGGAATAATTCTATCTATTGAAAGATTTTGTTATATTTAACGATAGAATTAATCATTTAAATAACTTAATTGCAAAATTAATCTGTTCAAAAATTAATTATTATGTAATTTTTAACATCCAAAAATATTTTCTAATTCAATAAAAACACTTTAAAAATTATTTCAAAAATTATTCGGACTCTGATTTTAATAAATCTGTAATTGTCAACGAATGCTTATGAAAATAATGAATGGCTAGAAATTATTAAAGAGCTTCATTTTAGTTTTAAGTAATATTAAATCATTTAAGTAATGTATATACATAGAAATATTGAAGCATTTTGGTAATAAAATTTAATTAAATGTTTTAAACATAAAAGAGTATTAAATATAATTCATAATATATATTAGTAAATTAAAAATATTTTAAATAAAAATATTTAAAAAAATGAATACTCAATAAATATATAAGGTATACATATGAAACTATAAAACTGTCTATATAAAATTATTATATATTTAATTACATGAAAATTATGATTAATAGAAAATTAGCTTTAAATAAATAATAAAAAAGTTGAATTTTTTTAAATATATTCTCTTTCTTGT